GGGGGGCACACACAGAACCCGGCCGGGACACAGGCGGCCGCGCCGTCGAATGTAAAGGACAACGAGGGGGCTAGAGTGCCAACCCTCGCGGGTATATTGTACAAGGGGCGACAGGCGTGCGCGCGCGCGCGCACACACACCGGCCCAGCTGCTCTATGTGGTGTGTGTATGCGCGTGTGCGCGTGGGGTGGGGGCGCGCATGTGCGTCGCCGTACATGTGCGCGCGTGCAAGGGGCGTGTGTGTGCGGCTGCGCGCGGCGGCCCATTTCCGACGGAGGGCGCCATGCCCCACCGGGCCGAACAATGTACAAGGCCAGCAGCAGCAGCAGCAGCAGCAGCGGCAACAGCGGGGGAGAGCAGGGTGCCGGCCCATCGGCCACGCCTCGGCACACTAGGCCGGCGATCCGACCAGCGCGCCGAGGCCCCGGCTGTTGAAGGCCGCCAGGGCGACCCCCACCAGGAAGGCCACCACTATGGAGACCAGCAGATGGGCGAGCGACATGCGGGCGATGCCGCCCCATTGGCGCCGGCCCCGCGAGGCAACCAGATTGCCCGACGTGGAGCCGCTCAGCGACGGCGGCCGCGGCAGGCCCGCCCGGGGATGCGTCTCCTTCTGCGCGGCGCGCACGCGTGCAATGGCCGGCAGTGTGCGTGTGTGTGCGTATGCAGCCACCAAAAGGGGGGGCGAGGTCCATGGTTAGAGCCGGGCCGGGGAGAGGGGACTGGCGGGAGGGAAAAGCCAACCCGGCGCGCGGTCGAGCAGATGCCGGCGGGGCACCGGGCGTCGCACGCACAGAAACAAACAGCGCTGGGGTTGCCGGTCCGGAGGCCTCGGCCGCCGCTTCGGCCGGGGCGATTTCGAATACCGGCAAGTCGGACGAGGGTCCCGCCGGGATGGCGGCCGGCTCCGGCTTGGGCCCCGGCGCCGGCGGCAGGGCTTCCACAGGGGACGAGCTCTCGCTGCGCGGGGAGAGCGCCATCACGAAGCCCGGCGCACGGCCCGGCGCCATGGCCTGTGCCGGGGCATCACGCGGCTCGCCGGGCACTGGGGCCAGCGAAGACAGGCAGGGGGGGGGGGGGGGGGGGGGGGGGGGGGGGGGGGGGGGGGGGGGGGGGGGGGGAGGGGGGGGGGGGGGGGAAGGGAAGAGGGGCCGAGCGAGGAGTGAGACAGGCGCACAGGCCCGTCCCCCCTCGCCGAGGGCCGGGAGGAGGTGTGCGAGGATGGTGGCGCGGCCGGGCCCCCGGCAGTGCGACAAAAGGCCGAGGCGCACGAGGGGGGCACGTACCAGGGCGGTCGTCCGCCTCGAGGGAGGTGTGAATCTTGAAGGAGGAGACCGACGTGGTGTCAGCCGTGGGCTCGGCATCATCCGGCTCGGACTCCTCGCCGGCTGAACTGCACTCCGGCGAGGACAACAGAAAGAGCGACATGGAACCGGAGCCGGCCAGGCTGGTGCCGCGGCTGCTGACAAAAGAAACATTCCGGTGCCGAGCCCTGAGCAGGGCTGCCGGCCGCGGCGACGCGCGTGCGCAGGGCGACAGGGGGGGCGAGTGGATGTCAGGCGCCGCCGGGGCAGGGGGCTCGCATGGCGTGAGGTGGGGGAGAGACAGGCCTGGCAGGGCCGCCGCCACGCCGGGCCCCGGGGCCTGGCCCAGGAGCCCGGCTCCCAGCAGCAACAGTCGCAGGCTGGCCACGGCCGTCGCGCGCCGGGGCAGCACCGGCCCGCCCAGGAGGCTGGCCCATGGCCGGGCATCTGCCGGCGGCATGGCGCACGACTCCCCCCTGGCCGGGGGCCGGCCGGGCGCCGGTGCCGGCACCGGGGTCAGCGCGACTCGCGGAGGCGCCGGCCCGGTGGGATGGCGCGAGGCCAGCGGCAAGGGCGCCTCGTGGCCGGGCGCCGCGGACACCGGCGACGCGGGGCCCGAGGTCAGGCTGGCTCCAGCTGCGGCGACAGCCGCCGCCGCGATGGCCCCGCCGCTGGATGGCAGCAGGCGGATGGACTGCCGCGCGCGGTGCGCGTGCATGTGTGTGTGTATGTGTTGGGGGCGAGAAGGGAGAGGGCAGGGCAGGGGAGAGAGAGAGAGAGAAAAGGCGAACGGGCAAGGAGAAGGAAGAGGCGAGCAGCGGCGCGAAACAGCGGTCAGAAAGGAGCGGCGGACAAGCAAGCGACGTGGCAAACGGCCGCGCACCAAATCAACGAGCCTCATCCACCGGCGGCAGATGGCGGGGGGCGGACACAGCTATAAAGAAGCGGAACAAGAGGAGCACACGGGAGGCGGGATCGCGCCAGGGGGGCAGGGGGGCAGGGGGGCAGGGGGGGAGAAGACAGAAAGGCAGACGGAGAAACCACTTCAAGGCCGAGGAAGGGCAGGAGGAAGATGGAAGGTAAAGGCTGAGCTTCACGGCCGGGCCCCCGCCAGGAGGCCTCAAGAAGAGCGTGCCTCGCCGGACTGGCCGGGGGGAGGAGAAGGCGGGGGCGGGGGGCATCCGGACGGCGGCACTGGCCCCGGATCCAGATCGCTGTCGGGAGGTCTGTGGAGCCCGAACTGGGGGATATTCCCGCCCTCCTTTCCGCCCCGGGCCCTCTCCCCCTCCTCCAAGCACGCCCTCGGGGGGACACCATCGGCCGGAGGGCGGGGCGAGATGGCGGGAAAAATAATACACAAATGCCCCATCATTGGCATCTGGAGGGACAAACAGCCGACGGAACAGTGTCCATCGGGCACGCGCTATCCCCGCGTGATCGGGGATTCCGTTTTCATTTTAAACTTTGCTCCGTCGCGCTTGGCGGCCGCCCACTCCGGTGGGTCCTCTGCGCGGACATGGCCGGGTGTGAAGCGGGGGCGGAGGCGGGGGCGGGGGATGCCCGTACGTGAGGAAGAAGGGGTCTGGGTGACAATCATAAGTAGCCCCTTGTCTTCCGAAGGAATTGCCCTCCTCCCGAGAAACGGCCATCGACCGGGGAGATGCCCGGGACGGGCGGGGGACAACAATGCGAATTTTGCCGGCAGGATGGGAGGTCCGAGACTGGGCAACTGGTGCCCCCTCCGGGGCACCTGGTAGCGCGATCCAGCAAACCGTCGCCAAAGGCCCTGATTCGGAGTTAAGGGAATGCTTCCTGCTGTAGAGTCAGCGCCAAACTCCAGACACCATCTCTTCTTTCCCCCCCCCCCCCCCCCCCCTCCTTCCCACACATACGCGCACACACCAATCACTTGCCCCGCACGCACGCTCCCCCACAGCTTCACTTCCACCCATCCATACGCACATACTGGGGGATACACGCACGCACGCACGCACGCACGCACGCACGCACCCACACACACACGCACACACGCACGCACGCTTGCGCGACACACATCCACACACGCAGCTGTATAGCCACGCAGGCGCGATAGGGAATCTCCTTCGCGCAGCGAACAAGCGAGCACAGCTCAGGGACCGCGCCAGCGTCAGGCGGCGCAAGACATGTCCACCGGCGAGCTCCCCACCCAGCTGACTGAGCAACTGAAGACCTTTGTCCGTTTGCGTCCAGTTCAGCTGACACAGCCGCCGTCGGTTGTCCCCTGTAGCACCAACAAACATGATCTACTGATCGAGGTTCGTGCAACACGCACCTTTTGCCGATTTGCCGGCCAGTTCCACTGACATCCATGGCACTGTCTTGCACGCCTGTAGCGCGCCCCGGCCAAGGCAGGCGCATCGCGGGAGCCGCCACAGCGGTTTCGCTACACGCACGTCTTCCCAGAGGACACCTCCCAGGAGGACTTCTTTCGCGAGACCACCCTTCCTCTGGTTCGGGACATGTTCACTGGCACGGTACGCCGGACACATGGACATGCACGCACGCACGCACGCACGCGTGCACGCGCGCGCGCGCACACACACACACAAAACACATCTGTCTACGTTCTGCCTGAGCCCAACATCGGAGATACTAACCTGGAAGTTCTTTCCCCTTCGCTCCGCATGCTTTGCATGGGCTTGCTTGCATGCATATGCGTGCCTCTTACACCGGCCAAACATTAGAACACCCTCTTCTTTGCGTATGGTGTCAGTGGCGGGGGGAAGACCTTCACCCTTGATGGCTCCGCCTCCCAGCCGGGAGTCATCCCACGCGCCCTCAGTGCCATCTTTCAGACGATCGGTGACTACCAAACCGAAGTGCCAGTGCGTTGTTCCCCGGCTGGCGCCTGCTTGCTCTGCCGCCATACTCACGATCGCCGGACTCCGGCAACATGAATGCACTGCTCCCTGCTTGGACGCTCACCCATACATACACGCGCATGCACAGGTCAAGCCCGCACACTTTGATGGGATCGAGCTGTTTGATGCACACGACCGGGCGGAGAAGGAGTCGGCAGGCATCCTGGCGGCGGCACTTGCCTCAAGCAGCGTGCGTTCATTCCCATCCGCCATGATGCCACCCATCACCCGGCCGGTGGGGGGGGGACTGGGCGGGACGGGAGGGGGGCAAAAAAATTCTGACCCTCATTCATGTTATCTGCCTTTCCAGCGCTCAACTATCGGCGCCACGCCGTCCACACCACGGCGCGGCCTGGCTCGCAACGTGAGCCACCTCCTTCCGCTGGCCATCCCCGGGTCGGATCTCTATAGCTCGGAGCTGGCGGAGTCTCTCTGTCTCGGGGACACGTACTCGGATGATCTTCAGGGTGCGTGTCCTCTCATCTCGAGCCATGTGGGGGAGGGGCCCATTCTCGCGATCAGGGCAAACCCCTTTGGGCATGTTGCTGTTGACCATTCCCACTGACCAAGGCTGCTCGTGCATGATGCTCAGCCCTGGCCGCCGTGGAGAGCACTCGCTTTTCGGTGTGGGTCAGTGCGTGCCAGATTTACAACCGAGTCATCAGCGATCTGCTGGTGGAACCGGCCACCGATGGGCGTCTTTCCTCTTTTGGGGTTCCCTCTACGCCGGGCGGTGGCGACCGTCGGCGCACCGGGTCGACCTTTCCCCTGGCCACTCCCTCGACGCCGTCGACCTCCTCGGCGGCGACGGCGGCAGCAGCCGCGGCGTCTGGGTCCTTTCCCTTCGGGAGCTCCTTCGGCGTGACCGGCATGCCCGGGGGCACGCGCGTGTCCACTGCTCCGGCGCCGGGCGCCGGGGGCGGGGCCGGTGGCGGAGGCTTCGGCTGTCCGGTTGGCCTCGGCTCCGGCTCCAGTGCCCCGGTGGTCACCGACAATGGCTACATTCATGGGCTGGTGGAGGTGCGCGTCCGGTCCATGCGCGAGGCCTTTGCCCTGATCGCGCGCGCACGCGAGCATCGCGCCCGGGCGGCTACCTCGCAAAATGTGGCCTCCTCAAGGTCGCACTCGATCTACTTCATCCGAGTCCTGCAATTCCCGGTGGCCCCGGGGGCCTGTAGCGACACCGGCTCGATGGCCGAGGTTCTGGTTGACCCGAAGGCCGTGCGCACGAGCCGTCTAGTTCTCGTGGACATGGCCGGGGCCGAGCGGAGCAAGAAACTGAACCACTCCAGTGCTGAGCGCCAGCGCGAGTCAAATCGCATCAATGAGACGGTCCTCCACCTGAATGCCTGCCTGGAGGCACTTCGCAACAAGCAGTCCGGTGGCTCGAGTGGCTTCTACTCCTGGTCCTCGGACAAGTTGACTAAGCTCTTCCAGCCGTACTTCACCGGGGCTGGCAAGGCGGTGCGCCTGCTGGGTGGCCGATTTCCCGGCCGGCGTGGGGGCCGAGGACCGGCTGTCGGCCTGCCTTTTGCCGGTCCATTTCTCTTCCCTCGGTCCCCTTCTTGGAGCTGACCCTCCTCTCTCTCTCTCTCTCTCTCTCTCCCGCCCATTAGGCCATGGTTCTCAATGTGAACCCTGATCCCGAGCTTGTCAAGGAAACCTTTCACGCATTGCAGGTGGGCTCAGTGGCCCAGCAACTTCGGACCACCCGACAGCGGGCCCGGCCCATGGTTGACATCCATGATCCGACCCGTGCGCATCCGACTCGACCTCCGGGCCCCATGTGCCACCTTCGACTTCGCCCTGGCTGACCTTGCTTTTTGCCTGCCCCCCTCGCCCTTTGTCGGCTGCCCTGCCTGCCTGCCTTCCGGACGGCCAGTGGCTCGGCTGCCCTCCTCCTTCCAGAGCTACCAGGCTCCATTCATGGACAGCGGTGGGTCATACCTGACGGCACTGTCCGGGAGTCAGACGCCCACCGTGCAGGCGGTCAAGCGGTCGCGTGCGACTCCGACACTTGAGCAAGCACAGAACACATACAGCGCTCGGGCCATGAGGTACCATATGAAGCACGGCCGCGAGGCGGCGACGACGCCCATTCGCATTGTCGGCGGCCGGACCGGGCAGGTGGCCGCTTCGGCGGGTGGCTCGCCACGCCTGCTGCTTGAACATCCGTGGGATTTGGCCCATGGGACGGGCAATGTCGGCACCGGCACCCCGCTCCGAGCTGGCTCCTCGCCGGGCGGGGCGCTGGATATCACGCTGGCCGGGCCATTGGCCACCCCTCGGCGGTGGGCCCGGCCGGATCCCCTCCGGACCCCGGGCAGCGGGCCCGCCCTGCCACTCATGCATGGTGATGACGAGGAGGAGGATGTGGTTTTGCTGCCGGATGCGCTGATTGCTCGGGACTCGGAGCGCCTGCTGGGCTCGATTGCCGCGGAGATTGCCTCCCTGAAGCAGCGAGCCGAAGCGTGTCGCGACTGTGCGGCCCGGGCCATTGCCAGTGCCCAGAGCATCGACATTGAGAATGCCGTCAATGAGGCGAAGGCCGAGCTCATGGGTCAGGCCCTGTTGCAGCGGGATTCCCTTGCCCGTTCGGTGCGCTTTCCGTTCGCCCTTTTTTTTTTCCCCCCCCGGGCTGTGTGCGCATTTTGGTGGGGGCGAAAAAGGGCCGAGCGAAAGGGCACAAGTTCCTTTGCCGTGTGCCATGTGGCACGTCCGTCTTCGTTGGCTTTCTAACCGGCATGGCTCTCCTGGGACAGGCTTCTGAGGTGGAGACTTCTGGCGGGGCCGACGCCCCAAACAGCGTGGCACTGGCTCTGATGCAAGACAAGGCCCAGTTGGAGAATGCCCTGTACGAGGCGCGGCTGGCGGCCGACGCGGCGGATCAGCGAGCATACTCCACGGTGCACGCATATGCGGACCGCCTGCGCCAGGCGTTCGTCGAGTCCGACCGGCTGTCGAGCGAAAACCGCAAGCTCCGCGAGGAACTGTCCCGGCTGCGGTCGATTCTATCGAACAGTGGCGCTGCACCGGGGTCGCCATCGCGCGGGTCGCCGGCTCCGGCTGACCAGCCCAGCGGCAGCACTCCGGACCGCGGGTACCACTCGCCTACCGGCCAGGCTCCCCTGCTGGAAGAAGAGGCACTGTCAGTGACTGCCTCGCCGCTTTTCCCCCCAGCAGCGGCAGCGGCGGCAACATCATCGTCATCATCGTCGTCGCTGATGGCGCCGTCATCATCGTCGCTAGCGTCGTCGTCGCCGTCGCCGTCACCGTCGTCGCCGTCGTCACCCCGGTCGCCCAAGGAACCGGCCAAGCCAATGGCCACAGATGAGCCGAGCGTCGAGACAGCCTCGGCGCACTCCAGTACCCTGGATTTTTCGCCCGGTGATGAGGGGTTCGTCGATGCTGCCGACTTTCATTGTGAGCCAACTTCTCCCTCGCCCACGGGGATGTCGGTCTCCGATACGCCGGTCGCTGCCGGGGGGTGGCCTGTCGCCCTGTCAAACAAGCAGGCAGATCTCACCCTCACAGATAGCCCCTCCGAAGGGGGGGATATGCTGGTGGATGCGGTGGGGGAGGCCCCTGTGTCTCCGGTCCCTTCATCGCCGGACCCACCGTCCGGGCCCACTCCATCATGGGCAGTCGCTCCATCTAGCCCGGCCTCCGGGGGAGAAGGTGTCGATAGCCTGGCGACTCGGACTGCCGGGTCCCCTCCGCGCACACCCTCCCGTGCTGAGGGGGCCATCAAGGAAGAATGTTCCCCCGATGGGGGGACAGCGTCCGCCAAACAGGGGTCCTCCATTTCCACCCTTCGGCCCAAGCGGTGCGCATTGTGCAATTCCCTCGGGCAGCCTGCTCCCTGTCTTTGCGCATCCCGCCCTGCTTTCGCTCTGCGTCTCCCCCTTGCCTTCTCTGACATACATGCCACACACACACACACACATGCAGGGTGATGCTTCGGAAGCGCACGGTCGACATGACGGCCTCCTCTCTGGACGCGGTGCGTCAATTCTTGACATGTATTTTTGTTCCCCCCTCATCAAGAGGCAGGGAGGGGCGGGAAGGGGGGGGGGGGGGGGGGGAAGAGGGCAGAGCCCATCGTGCACCCCAGCACCATCCTTCCACCTGATGACGGCCTACCTTGGCGACTAACCTACCACCCGCTGGGGTCCCCTCACCACCTGCTGGGGTCCCCTCCCGCATAGACCCCCTCTCCGGGAGCACGGAAGACTGCCACCAAGTCGGCCGCGGCTTTGGCGGCCGCGGCGGCCGCGGAAATTGGCCCGGCCGGCCCAGCAATCCTCTTTACGGCTGGGAGAATCTGACAGAAAGGCAGCGAAAGAGATGGAGAGAGGGAGAAAGGGGGAGGGGATGCCCGAGCGGGCATGCTGGCCTCTTTCTTCCTCTCCGGTCGCTGTGGCTTGCCGGAAATATAGTCGTCCTTGTGTGAGGCCTTTGTGTGTGCATGTTCTATCGAGGCCGCCTGGAGGGGCTTTGCCCCGGCGGCGGGGAGGATATGGAGGTGCTTTAGCTCAGTCTGTGATGATGTCGGCAACAGGAGCATCAACAAGACCATCATCACCGTCATCATCTGGGGAATCCATGGCGCGATGGGGGACATCGGACGCCGGCGGCAAGGAGTCATCACTTTCCGGATGTGCTGAGGCAGGCGCTGACAGGAGGGGTGCTGCCTCATGGAGTACCGGCAACAGGGGATCGGCGTCGGTGGCAGCGTCAAGGACCGCCTCGCTGGACCTCGAGGAATCGGCCTGTGCGGAGGGAGTTGGCGGGCGGAGCAGGATCCGAGTCCCATGGTCGTCGGCCTGTTGCTGGAAGTGGGCCACATCCTCGGCATCAAACAGGCCAGAGGCCAATAGTGCCGCATTTTCCGTCTGACAAGTAGAGGGAAGGTCAGAACCCGCCGACAGGGGAGGGGCAGGAAGAGGGAGAGAAAGAGGAGCAGGAAGAGGGGGGGGGGGAGGGGGGAGGAGGGCTGGGGCCAAGAGGGCGGTGATTGTCCGGGGTCGGCGGAGCAGCGGAGTGCAGGCGAGGCGCCAGGGACAGGAGTGTACCTCGAGCATGGCCAGTGCGTCACAGAGACGAGACTCGAGGGCAGCAAAATCGTCGATGGTGCGGGTGGCTACCATGCACAGACGATCGGCATACTCCATCCGGGTCTCCAGGCCGAGGCGCGAACCGAACTTGGCGTCCGGCAGAAGGTAATGCGCGGAGGGGGAGCGGGAGTAGGATCGCGCGGATGTCGCTCCAGGCCGGTATTTCCCGGCCGATCGGGGCTTCATGAGGTGGAGGAAGCGAGAAAGGGGGACGGAGAGGAGGGACGGAGAGGAGGGAGGGGGCAAGGGAGGGGGGGGAGGAGATGTGGTGTCTTTGAGCATGCTAAAAAGCGCCGAGGCGCTTCGTCGATCGCGCCCCGGATCGGGCATCCTGGGTGCCGGAAAGCCGTGCCGCAGGGCCGATCGCTGGTGAGGGCACGCAGGTCCGTTGGGGGCAGCGGGCCAGGGAGCCGCTGGCTGCCGGCCCCGGAAGAGGGTTGGCGCGGAGCGGCAAGGCGGCTTTCATTCCCACCCCTGGGCTACAGGGAGGGAGGGAGGGAGCCCAGAGGGGGCTGGCCCGACCAGGGGCACCCCAACGAGGGGGAGGGGGGGGGCGGACCCTTCAGTGGGGGCCGAAAGGGGCGCCAGGAGGAACATGTGCGGGCGAGGGGCCAATGTGGAAATCGAGAGGCGGCCGCGGAGTGGCGAGGCCAGGCATGCCCAGGGGGCAACAGGGAAGAACACACAGACGAGGGACAGGCGCCGGGGAAGGGACACCATGTGGGAGGGCGGGAGGGGGGAACATGTGTTCAGATAGGCCGCCCCACAGCCGCCCTCCGAAGGGCGAGTCGCATGCCAACCACCCGGCACTACGGCCTGCCAGCCCGAGAGGAATACATACACGCATGCATGCCCGGGGGGCAACACAAGTGCGCCGGCCTGGGAGATCATCGGCGAACCAGAGAGGCGAGGCGGCCGGGGGGGGAGGGGGGGCAGAAAAACTGCCAATGCTCGGAGCCTCGGGCTGTAGGCGCGCCCGCCCCCGCCCCCCCCCCCCCCTGCCGCCACGGGGCGCCAGGAAATGTGCATCTGGATATTATTTTGGGACTAAAGTGTCCGGGAGGCGCAGGGTCCGGGGCCCGGGGTCCGGACCAGCAAGCACGCTACCAGACCAGTCTCTGCCACGGGCCCGGCCGATGGACCTGCCACAATCTTGCCACACTCCGGTCTAGAAGATACTGCCCTTTTTCAGCTGCACCCCGGCGGACGGGAGGCAACCGAACCTCGGAACTGGAGCGGGACGGGGGGGGGGGGGCGGAGGGCGGTCCGTCCGGCGGCACATTCCTGGCCGGAGGCGGGCGAGCCCCCCTCCCCCCCCGCCGCCAGGCCCCGCCGGGCCCCACCACGCTCCTCCCCCCGGGGCTGGCTCTGGTGCGAGTCGGGGCGTTCTTGAGGGGGCACCAGAGCTGGGAGGTGATCTCGCTGGGTGCTTGCCCTGGCCTCGAGCTGGGGTGTCCGCGCCTGGCCCCGGCGGGGGGGGGGGGGGGGGGACCTCTGCCGAGAACGCTCGGGCCTTGGGCCAGTGTCGGCGGCAGCTTGTACAGGCCGGGGAGCCACAGCCCGGGGCCCCGAGACCGCATTTCGGCGCACACATCCCTCTCTCTCTCTGTCCCTCTCCCTCGTAGGCCCTGTCTCCGGCTCGCTTTTATCTGGCAGCGTGCGACGATGCGATTTCCTCCCCCACGGCCCTGTGTGATAAGGAGTCATCAACAGCCGGGCTGCGGTCCCGGAACCGTGTGTGGGAGAGAGAAAGTCAAGGGCCGGTGTCCCGATAGCCGGCAGACGGGCCACCGGCCTGGAAAGGGCCGAGATGGCCCGAGCCTTTTTGACAGATACCAGGCACCCGTCCTCCGCCCAGGCCGTGCGTGTATATGGGGGGCGGTCTGCGGAGTGTGAGGTGCCCCCCCCCCCCCCGCACCGTAGGCCTGCCAGGACGCGCCATCGTCCTGGCCTGCCCCCTTGGCCCCCCCCCCGCCCTGAAGAGTGAGCGACAAGCCACACGCACGGCCACCCCCCCACACCACCCCCCGGGCGGGGGGGGGGGAGGGGGGCGAGCGGGGCTCACGCACCCGGCTGCCTTGCACCCGGGCGATGTGAGCAATAACAACGCTGGCAATATAAGCCCACCCTGCCGGCCGAACGCACCGGAGGGACCCCTCCCGGGGGGCGGGGCCAACTGAGCCGCCCTTGCCAGGGTCGGGGGCCAGGCGTGGTTGGTCAGCACCGGCAGACGAACTGGGAGCAGGGCGCTCCGAAGGTCGAGCGAGGGGCATGTGTGTGTGTGTGCGCCCTGATCGGGCGTGGGGCGCTCGGAGGGAGGGCGAACGCACGCACGCCGTCTCCACCGTGCAGCTTGAGGGCCCGAATCAGAAATGTGATGATGCGGACGGTTGGCGCTCCCTGCCCGGGGGGGGGGGGGGGGGGCGAGAACGGTGAAACGGCCACTCGGCGTAGGCTTGCGGAGGGCGCACTCGTCCGGCACGGTTCCGGGGGAATTCACCCCTAGCTGGGGAGAGAAGCACACACGCGCGAGGACCCTAGAACAGGTAGGCGAAAGGGCAATACCGACCACACGCACGTAGTGGTGGTGTTTACTTGCATGCGCAGGGCACACCCACACACACTCATGCATGTACGGTATCCCTGTCCCCCAGCAATGAACAGCCCCGCCGGGCTGTACAAGGAATATCTTTTCGCCCCCCGGCCGCTCCGGTCCCTAGTTGGGCCAAGCCGACACTGGGGCCATCAAACACGGCGCACAGAATACGGAAGTCTTCCCCT